CCTCAAATCAGAATTTGCGGACAACTGATCTGACGCCATGAACTTGACTGTGGTCTCCGGCATAGCCTGAACATCTTTTATGTTTACATTGTCTCCCTGTCTCTTTAATGCTGGCATGAAAATTTAATTCAATGAATTCCCTTGTTCTTGCTTAATTATTGAAAATGACATGGGATTTCATGTGGAAGTTTTAGCGCTTATTTTTGTGCCCTTGTGCCCACTTGGCTACTCCCTGAGTAGTACATAGGGCTTACTTTGCAGTGTGAGAGGTTCCTTGCAATTGAGTTAAGAGGTTCTTTCTGTTAAGAGGTTCCTTATATTTTTTATTTCCAGGAAGGCTGCAAGATCCACCAGACGAGTCTTCACTAGTGCTTCTATGGGACCTGTCAGACCATCTCATGAAGCAGCAAGAACATCAATGGCTAAACAGGCTATCTCTAAAAATGCAACTAATATTTCAAAGTTCATCAATGAAAGGAGATTAAACAAGTCCCTCAATTCAGACTTACTGAAGAAGTGTCTCTTTTGTGGCAAGGAATTTTATTCAGGAAATGACCAGCATTTGAATGAGAGCTGTCAGAAGGAAGGCAAAAGTTGTACCAACCAGCCAGTGAGAGAGAGTCCATCAAAACATTCATCTGAAGCCACAAATGACCTGCCAGACATGAAAATTAAATCATCTATTAATTTATCAGCTTCACAAATACAAACACAACATGATAACAGTACTCTAATAGATGATGCTGTGGCTGCCATTGAAGGAATAAATGGCACCACAGAAAAGAATGTGCATTTTTCTAAATTCAACTCAGAGCAATGCTTTTTGGGTGTCCTCAAGTCTCATCCAGTCTTTAAGGAATATGATCTATTGCCTGGTATGTTCCTTGAGTGAGGTTTGGACAAATATGTATTTAAATATATCTTATTTACTTGTCCAGTTATTGGTACGATATTTCTAGTTTCAGTTCATGTGTAGTTAGAAGAATGGTCTTGACGGAGTAATTTTTTATTTCATCTTATTTTCCAATCAAATTCATACGAGTTTTCCATTTGCAGCGACGTCTTCACTCTGGCGACCGAAATTGAAACTTGACAGACGCCTGGACTGGAACGCCCAAGAAGACAGACCCCAAATCCCTGCTGGTAATCAAAGTTCCAAGTCCAAAAAAGGACTTCAAAGCGCCATCTCCAGCCAGCAGCGGCTGAGCTCTTCTACTGGCAATATTGCTGCGCAAACTGAAGTTAGTTTCAATGTTTGTGTGTTGTTGTATCATATGCCATGCTTAGATCTATTGTTAGCAAATTTTAATTATTGTACTATGCCTTCTCTTCTCTGATAATTCTGTTAACTTCATGAACTATTGTAATAATTTGTTTTACAAGTTTTATGCCAACGAGTGTATAGATGGAGAATTTTATTTAATCCTGAATTTGAAGATTGCCCATGAAACTTTTGAGTAAAGTCTGTCTTTGTAGGCCAATAATCAGAATTGATAATTCACTATTTATCACTAAAGTGTCATGTTTNCTGTCTCTTATACACATCTAGATGTGTATAAGAGACAGCCACAATGCCGACAACCAACGCAATGATCAGGGGTTCGAGCCCTAATGCACTGCCCAGAACACAGAACCGGGGTGGCAGTTACGCCTCAAAAGCACAACTATTGAAGGGTACGAGCCTCCAATAAGCCGCTGACAGTTTACTCGAGCGCAGAGGTTATTAGCCTCTACCTCGAGGTTGCGATTTGAACGGCTGTTAACCGCCCAATGCAGCCAAAACCTGGAACTATCCAAGAACTCCACCTATGCCGTTGTTAGTCCGTTAGTGGAACTCATTAAGAGTTATGCCCAGAACTGCAGTGGAGTTTATTCTTGGAAGCCCAAATTTGGCTCTGCCTGATTCGAGTTGAAACCGTGCCACCCCAACCCAGCACCACTGACTGACTGAGCACACACAACTTCCGAGTGCACACAACGAGGGGGTAACTCAGCCAAAATGAGCTTACTTCAACAACCCATTTACAATGTACAAAACAGACTGTAAACACTTCCTAAGTGCAAAAAAATAGATAATATATTATAATACAATAAAGTCAACATATTTGTAATCATTTGGCAATCTAATCACAGTTAAAAATCTAATAATCTTAAACTAATTCCTAAGAGACCAAACTCTCCATCGTTCACGACTGCCTAGCGCACGTTATAATGAGATTAGGAGCAGCTCGACCAATCACATTGGAGCTACACCCTGTCTCGTTCCAAGACTACAAACACCACAGCTAGACAAGATTTCATATTACAGTCGCAAAATAAATATTCGTTTACACATTGCTTAGTCATAAATAAATACATTCAACCATTATTGAGTCATATTGTAATGTAATAGATAATATCAAGACTCGAATCTCTTAATGAAGTTGATCTTCCAAGTCCAGCCAATACTACATTCTCAAAAAAATTATTTCATAAACTTTGGGTTCCGCCACACTTGTAAGACTGGGTACGTGACTGGAACCGTGTCACGGCTGCCATCAGGTGGTCACTGGTCAGAGTTCCCCCATTGGGATTTGGGAGGCAGTGCCCCCCATTTGCAAACTATGACACTTTCCTAAAATTTGTCATTTGCATATGTAACTAGAAGAGTTCTCTTACAATCATACAATGCATCAAAACCTGGAGTTATTTGACCAAAAAATAAAAAAATTGGAGGGGGTACTCTGAATTGGAGGGGGTACTTCCAATCTTCCATTGAGAAAATTTTTCTAGGTAGCCTATTTCAAATAGTTTTTGAGTTTTGGGGGTTTTTGTTAAGAAAACAAATAGTGGTCAAAGTTAGGTACCCCGGGAGTCAAAGTAGGCTAACCCCATTTTATGGTATCTAGGTAGCCTACTTGCCACTCAGTTGCCGCTGCCAGCAAGGCGCAACTGGATTTTTTGAGCCGTGGTTTAATGGGTTTTCCAGCCGTGGTTTAATAGGTTTTCCAGCCGTGGTTTAATGGGTTTTCCAGCAGTGATTCCATTTCTTCAAGCCGTGAATGGCCCTTGATGGCCCATGAATTCCATATTTTGGCTATGAAAAGCCATTTACAAGCTGCGAATTCCATATCTTTGGCTGTGAAAAACCATTTACAAGCCGCGAACTCATTATTTACTAAGTCCCATCACTCCCATGCACATGTTAGGGTAAACATAGTATAGTCCGACATTGATTCCGACACTTCTCGACTTTTTTCCTTTACATTAAACTTTTCTTAGTTCCTTGCATTTGTTGAGGGTTGCAAATAGTGACGTCATACTTGTGCGCACCATACTATTGCCAATTGCCAAAACACTAGTTCTGAGCCATCTGGTGGGAAAATGTTGAGATTCAAAGAGAGACAGTGCACCTCACCCAGTGAGAACATCAAAAAACTTGTCAAAGTTGATAGTTGACCTTGCTCTTTCAAATTGTGATAAACTGTTTGTGTAGAAAGAATATTATGGTTTGAGTCTTTTAAATATGTCTGTCGGTCTGTGAATATATTAGGAATCCTTTAAGTAGGTATACTTTTAAAGTTGCATTTGCTGATTTCAAGTGGCAAAAAAATTAATATATGATTAAGCTAAGAGACGGTTTCAGACACATAAAAACTAATTCCGACACAGCTTGGAAAGTTGGAATTAGACACACACAGCTCGTTCCAAGCTGTGTGCAAAAATTAAAATTTTCTTAATTAAAAGCTTAATAGCTCTTAATTAAAAACCCTAATTAAGTAATGTTCAATATTCAATAGTATTCTAATCTAATTCCAAGCTGTGTCATATTCCAATACAGCTCACACAGCGATCGGAATTTGAACACAAGAGTGTCGGCATTACGAATTAATAGTTTGAAGCGCGGCTGGAATTAGTCTCACAAAATGCCAAATTTAGTCATGCACAATGTTGGAATATATGGATTTGGTAGGTTTGCATTCTAAAGGCTTTTAAATAAATATGGCAACATTTGGTCGCGTTTCATTGTTGCTGGCTCGCAGTGCGGTGTTTTGAGAGTGACGTAAAGCAAACAGAACTTGAGTTGCATGTAAGGTGAATTTTTTATAGCCATTCATTTTTTGCTACTTCCTTAAAGTGTCGGAATATACCGCATTTACCGTAGTCCCACTGTGCAGAGAGTGGGTGAATATCGCAAGATCTTTGGCGATGCTTCAGCAGCAAAATTTATGCCTTTAGAAGATCTTGCCCACACATTTAGATTGAAATTATTGCATTAAATATAGATATTCCATCCATGGACCATGCCTGACTTGCCTGTCAAGAGTAGGTACTGTTAGTAGTGGATGTACACATTGCATGCTTCAAACATTTTTAAATTAGTAAGTTTTATTTCAAGTGTCTTGGATTACCCCCTTCCCTGGCCTGGGCCAGGGGTAATTTGGGATGCTTTTATTTTGTGTCTGGCACATTACAAATAGCGTATGAAATTTTTTTGGAGATGCAATACCATAGCCCTCGCAAAAAGCTTTGAAATGAGCCTAAACTTGTTTAGGAAATTTTTCATAGTAAGAAGTTATTAACAAAAAAATATTTTAAACCATCCCTTATTACCCCATTTGACAGGACATCTCTTCAAAGAAAAACCCTGTCTCAATAATTCACACAGTTCATATCCTTGTGAAATAGTTAATTGCTAGGCTTTCAAATTCTAGTGTTTATTTTCTAATGCTTTGCAAGTGTTCGTTTTTGTTTTTACAATTGATTTGTCCCTTATTTGTCAATTATAGGTTTTAATGTCTGACTTTGGAGTTTTGAATTATAATGATTGTTTTCATTCCTTCTAGATTTTTGAGCTGTCTAGAGCTGGACTCCGAAACGTTTTCAATATAGATATGGTCACTTGGCATTCTCTTTGCTTTTAATTCCTTATTAACTTGCATTTTAAGGAGACTAAAGATGTAAGTACTGAAATGAACACAATAAAGGAAAATACATGGGTACATGCCATAGATGTTATTCAAATCGCAGCCAAAAGTTCTAATTGTAATCTTCACTCATAAATTTACACTAATTTTTGCTCATCAGCTTCTGCTCTAACTACAACATAAGCTGTTCATCTGTAATATAATGCTATATGGTAATATGGATCAGCTTTCAGTGCAGTCTTCTGTGATTAATAATGTTCCAATCAATTTTATCATTGGAGTGACTCAAGAGAAGAGAAATTCATAGCTCTTCATTGATGATTGAGGAAATAAAAAATTTCTTACTATGGTTCATCGGAAATCTAATTATGTGTTGACTTTCAAAAATATAAGTTCCCAAGATAGGCAGAATCTCTATGAAGAAAACAAAATCAGCAGGTGAGTATACACTTGGAATTGTAATTGATGTTTTAAAATATAGTTGTTCTGTTGTTCTTAACATACAACCTGTCTCTTATACACATCTAGATGTGTATAAGAGACAGGGAATGTAGCCTCAGTATTAGGCCTTTAATGCCCATTGACAAAATTTTTCTATGTCAAATAGTTTTTGAGTTGTGGGGGTTTTTGTTAAAAAAACAAAAAGTGGTCTAAGTTACCCCGCCGGTCTAAGTTACCCATTTTACGGTACCTAATACCAATACAACTGTTTCAATTGACTTTCTTGGGAATCAACAATAATACTAGGTATTATAACTACTAGTAATAATAATAATATCATAACTAACTTTAGTCTTACAACAGAACTTATGCCCAAGATATGCAGAATATGAAAAAAAATTAAATAAATACTTGCCTAATTAAATATTGTCATAGATGGTATTCAGAAGTGGCTATTAAGGCCTTTTAGTGATAATTTATATTAATGTTATGTTTATAAAATGAAATCTGCCTAACCTAAAGAAAGTTGTTAGGAAGAGAGCCAGTGGATGCACTTTGGAGAATCTATAGGCAAGATAGTGAATTGAGTATTGATGGAATTTGGAGCTGGCTCACAGATCAGGCAAGAGCCTTGTGGCAAGCTTTGTAGAAAATAAATGCATCCAAAGGCAATAATAGTACCTATGTTGGACCAGACCAAGATGCAAAATTGCATGCATTACCTGTCTAATAAACAAGGGCCATTTATATGCAAGAATTCAATGCTGTTAGCTATCACAAAAAAAAAACTGAGGTCATCACCAATTTACTCAATGCCACAAACTTCCAACCTCCTCAATTGCAACTAGGTACCCTAATCTACACCTAATCTTTCTAGTTGCTA